TGTGTGTGTGTGTGTTTGTGCGTGTATGTGCATGTGGACATATGTATATACATATGTACGTTTGTATATATATATATACACACACCTATATACATATATATATATATATAGATAGATAGATAGATAGATAGATAGATAGATAGATAGATAGATAGACATATTTATTTATTTATTATGTACATCCACTCACATTGTGCTGTGGCCTGCGTTGGGCAAGGATCCCAGCACTATCGAATCCTGGAGAGCTCAATCTGACGAGCTAAGACCGCAGCTGACAAGGTGTCTGGATCGAAGCGATCGCTGTATTCATTGGTGGTTCGATACGCCACCTCGGCATGGCCAAGCTGTTTAGGGTAATTTAGCATAGGCATAGTATATCTAGCATATTACAGTATAATCTCGGTATACCATTAGTATAGCACCTTGGGGTTTAGGGTTCCTGGTTGCAGGCATTCGCACAGATCCTAATGCAGAAACCCTGAGTTGCGAGCACTCACGATCGCAGCAATTCCGGCACCCAGCCTCAGCGTTTAGGGCTTAAGGGTTTAGGCTTTTGCCCTAAACCCTTTTGGCTTTGAACCCTCGCGATGCCCGAACCCGCAAAGAAACGCGTGATGCGAGGCTAGGAGCAAAGAAATGGCCCCCTCAAGAAAGCCGACTCCACTCCGTGAACAAATTAAGTCCCAAGCCAGATAACACCAGAACATAACGAAGTCCCATCCCTAAGCCTAAAAAAATGAGCCAGCACCTCTAACATGAATCCCGAACGCCAGACCTCCAAGATCGCTGGTGATATAACCTGAGGACTCCAACATCCTAAATTTCTAAATTCCAACCTCCTAGACCGAAAACCGGTAAGCCTCAAACCCTAAAACCCGAAACCCTAAAATCAAAACTGAGCTCCTGAAACCCTGAACTCCCGAAACCCTGAACTCCTAAAACCCTAGACCCTAAACTCCTGAAACCCTAAACTGCCAAAACCCTAAACTCTAGACTCCTAAAGCCCGAAACTCCTAAAACCCTAAACTTCTAAACTTAAACCACTCACCTGGGCCCTGGGCGCAAAGAGCGCCCCGCGTCTCTTCGACCAAGCAGGTCTCAGCAATGCTTTCGAGCTTCTTGGGTTGAGTTTTTGGGCTTTTGCTTTAGGGCTTTATCATGATCCTTCACAGTATTATTGTCTTTGTATTGATTATTGTTATTATCATCATCATCATGATCAGCCTTGCTTTGAGGTGCGAGGGTTAGGGCTCCCACACCCCTTCTTTGAAGCGAGGGATCCTGTAGTTGGAACCAAGTAGACCCCAAGCCTGACAATATACAGGAACCCTAAAGGCTGAAACCCCAAATTTTGAAACACTAAATCCTAAAGTTACACTTGGAGTTCTCAACCTGCGATCGGCGACTGGGACGTCGCGGCTGCTGCTCGTCCGGATTCGAGCGTTCGGACGTACGAGGCTTTGGCGTAGAGAACAGAAAGCTGGGGATCCCCGGCAACCTATGAACAAAAAGGGCTCCCTCTTTCGGTATTGAGTAGATTTGTAAGGAACCCAAGATCACAAAAGGAAGAAGGCCCACTGGGAGACCTCTTAGAAAGTATGCCCACGGCCTCAGTTATCTTCGCAGCATGACTCGGCTTGGACTTGCGAACTCAGTGGTGGAGGGGCTCGGGTATACATCCATAAGAAGGGCTAGACAGAGCAGAGCAGGAGCAGGCCTCTTGAAATTCAATGGCGACAGATCCTCCATGGTCGGGGCGCATGCGCGCTCCTTCGACCCTCCCCAGCTGTCTTCTGTGCTAAGCCGCTAAGCCCCTTATGCATGCAGTCGTCTAGTCACTCGAGTGTCTTGTCTAGTCGTCCGCGACGCTTCATGACGGCAATGGAGCAGGCTGGCTGAGGGCGGACGGGATTCTTGTGTCAACACCCGGCATGTTGTAAGGGCTAGGAGTGCTGTGCTGAGACCCATCCAGCCGCTACCAAAAGAAATCTCATATTCTATACACCTCTTACGCTCAAAGCCCACAGGCCGCGGCACAGTTGGCTGAATCAACATTCGCTCGCAGTTGTCATCCTACAGCGCGATTAGGCGGTTAGGCAGACATGCGGCAAGCTATTGTTTTCACTTGTTTCATGCTCGGCTTGACCTACCAACCCAGTGGACTTGCAAAGCGTTCTGAAGCTGGTAGGCACGCGCCTTTTCACAGAGACAGCGAGCAGCCGCGGGCTGCTCACAAGCCTTTCTTGATCTCCATCTTTTGGTGCGAGCCGCTTATGCCCTGACAACAACTTAAGGCATAGTCACCGTTCGACGCACAGCTCCTCTTGCGCGGCCTCGCGCCTCGCAAACGTACACCGGGAGGTTCGCATCTTTACTCACAGAGCTCTTCGAGTCGGGCGCAACCACCTTGCGCTTTGCCTGGCCGGAATTGGGATCTGACGCGGGTGCTGTTTGGAGGCGCGAGGAGGGAAGTTTTCACCAGCCAACCCAGCTTCCAATTCTATGGAACTGCGATGGCCTCCCCTTCTGCCACGGACTCGGCCTGCTCTGCTAACCTTTCCAAGAATGTCAGCTTGATTCGAGCTGCGCCTTAAATTAAACGTTTGCTCTCGGATCTTCGCAGGGCTGCTGCGTCATGCAAGAAAGAACGGGGAAGCGAAACCCTCTGAGCCACCGAAGCTTTGCACTTCGGCTGTGACGTGGTTTGAAGTTTGCTTTAGGCTGCATACCCTGCCTGCGACCCACTTCGGATGTCAGCGCAGCCTGAGCCGGCAGCTTCGGATGGGTTGCATGCTATGTGCCAGGATATGATATGATATGATATGATCTGATCTGATCTGGTCTGATACGGCACATTGTGATATGCATAGTGATAAGATATGCAGACTGGACCGTGCGGCTGGAGGGCCGGAAGGTCTGCTAGTGGATCGTGCATGATTTGAGGCCTGTGATGCATGTGATGCTTCTGAACTCTGGACAAGTCAAGAAAGGAAAAGAACAATGCAAACACTTCACCAAAGAGTGGAATTCACCGGTTCAGAACAATGGTTCAAGAACACGAGGGCACGAGGACTCCTTTCCGAAGTCGCTCGAGCGAGCCTCCGCCACATCTGAGGGCACGCCAGGTTCCTGACACCGCTTCAGACGCGTTTGCTATCACAGGACAAACCCTGTTTTGCTGTAGCACTGAACGACTGGCACGAAGCACGCTGCCAACTGCTGCGACGGTTTGGAACGAATGTCGTGGTGCTTCTGCAATGAAACTTCACGGTGGCTTGCCCAAAGCTGGGTGCGGGTTAAAGACTGCAAAATTCTGGAACATTGAGGTCCCGTAGCGGTGACTTCTCGGGAGCTTCAAGCCCTGAGGAGCTGCAACCCGTCAGCTCACACCTCCCAAAATGCTGAGCTTTCGCCATAATAAAATGCTGAAATGTCTACAACCCTTCTTAGTCTTTAGCCCCATCTGTAGTCTCTGCTGCAATAAGAATGAGCAGGGGAGTCCTTCAGAATTTCCAGCAATGCCGTGCACACTGCGCGCTCCATGCCTCTCGGCATTTGGGACTCTGTGGGGTTCGGTGGGTTTAGGGATTCAATTTTGGAACATCGCTTGTCATCACATAGTGCTGTGCCCGCACTCTTCACAGCAGTGCTGTGTGTCTGCACGTGCGATTAGTACGACTATGATTATAAACTAGGGTTTGATTGCCAGCTATTTAATCTAATATTAGCCATGTAGCCTTGGGTCCAGCTTCTTTCTCATGATCATGATCACAGCCTTGCAAGAACTTTTTGGCAAGATGTGATTGCTCCGGTTCGAACATAAAACTGCACTGGTTATATTCAGATCAAGCAGCCCCGAACATGCTTGGCATGTCCATGGCTTCCACACTCCGAGGCAGACGAAGTCAAAGCTTCACCTTATCTCGTATGTTATTTTATGATAATTAATGGGTCAGGATATTAGCTTAGTAGCTGCTAGGCCATTACAAGACAGGGTTGGTGTGTTGCAGGTTTGGGTTTAGCAGGGAGGCCGGCCGGGTGTTTGTTTTGTAAGATTAGGGGGAATCTTATTCGTAGTCAGCTTCAACTTAGGTTTTATTAAATATTAGATAAAGGGTTATAATGACTTTAGTTACTAACTAAGAATTCTTGCCATCATCTCCCACTGCCAGGTCTGCAAAGTCGAAGCGAAAGCCACATCCCCTCCCCCAACTCAAGACCCCAGACCCTAAACCTGACGGAACTGTGCTCTTTCAAGTTTTCAAGATTCTTTTTCAGGGGTTGTATGGGTTGACAAGCAGCCATTCTCGCTCCGTGAGACCATCAATTTTCTGGAACTCCGAAAACACTTCAACAGCCTACATCAATCGCAGAGCCTGGGATGGCATCGAGGGAAATGAGGTCGCTGAACTGGCCATGGACCCAAGCACCGCAGAGAGCTTCTATTTAGCCCCCTGCTTCAAGCAGAAGCACGACTGAGAATGATGCTTATGAGTAGTCAAAACATCCAGCTGATGAGAAGAGCAGTCGAAATAGAGGCGCCTTAACGATCAGAACAGGCTTTGGGGTATAGCAATAGCAAAGCAGCACATAGTTGTAACAGGGAAGCCTAAGGAACCATGTTCGTAAATATTCAGGCTCGTACATTGTAATTCGGCTGCTGCACTCTCAGGCCCATCAAGGAGAAGCTCTGAGGCACCGTTCAGTATCGCTCAGTAGCAGATGGTGACAAAGCACTACAACACATTCTCTCACAACGCATTCTTTCTTTCTGTCGTTCTTTCGTTCTTTCTTTCTTTCGCAAAGCTTTGGGTCGAGTGCGACGTGCGCCCGAAACTGGGCTGTGGTTCCAGGATAAAAAGTTAACGTACCAGAATAAGGAAACCATACTATCCACTATAGATCCCTGTGATGGTAATTCAATTAAATGAAGCCCCTTGATAAGAAACCCCCCTAAGTTCCAAAAGGATGTCCTCACCCTTGAAGCCCTGAGGCTTCGCTTCTGATGGGCCTCCATACCCTGGCTGAGGAGGCGCAGCGCCATCTCCGACACCATGGGTGCATCGCGGACCCCTGCCTGCAAGGGCAGCGCTCTGCTTGGCGTGGAGGGTAGATGGAGAGCGAGAGAGCAAAGACAGAGAGTGACGGCAAGAGAGACGGACAGAGAGTGAGGGAGAGACAAGCAGCGCAACAGCCAAGCAGACAGGGGAGCAGACGGGCACGGATAGGAATGGAGGGAAAGAGAGAAACAAAGGCGGCAAAAGACGGTCAGCGCCACGGAGAAAGAGCAGGAAGTGCTTTGGGCTCCGTATTTGGGGGCGGTTTTGAAAAGAGCGTGAATCGCGGTGAGGTTGCTCCCTCAAGAATCCGAGCAGTGCGGATCTGGAAACTATGCTTGCAGCTGCGGGTCTTGTACTTAGAAGGGAAGCCATGAACCGTCAGCCTGATACTAGTGGTCAGCGGTCTGGCAGGAGCCACCTGGACACTAAGTCATTACAAAAGCGAAAACTGGGGCCCATGGCCGAAAAGCATGCAGAAGAAGATGATGCTTGTGGCTAAGCCTTAAAGCCTAAATCCTAAGCCCCGTATGAGCCTTAAGCTCTGAACCCTAAACCCAAAGCCCCATCAGCTTTTCTGCTTCAACTCGATCGCTGCGTGGCTCAGTCACGGTACAGCCTCTTGTGTCTGTAATGGTGAGTGCAACACGGATGCAAGCCGGCAAGCACAACAAATAGGAACGAGAGAATATCAGTAATAACAATAACATGCTAGCGACAATAATACAAGTAGTAACAATATTCGTTAAAAACTAACACTAGCAATAACAATGGTTGTAAAGCCAACGATAATCATGTAAGATCACTGAGCATCCCTCCAAAAGTAGCTGACTCAACAGGGCCGCTCACAGACGGCTTCGCTCCTCCAAGGTGCTTTTCCTGTGTCTTCCAAGGCTCTTGGGATTTACGTTTGGGAGGCTTGCGGTGCTAGGGTCGCGCGGATCGCTCCAACGTGATATGGCGGCATAGGAACCAACTACATGACTACAAAGCCAAGTGTTCAAAGCCCACCCGCAAAGAGACAAACCGAAACCCACAAAGGTCTGAGTAAATCAGCCCAAGTCTCAGAATCCGAGATGCCGCGCTGGCACCACCCTTAGCATCTGCTGCTCGGGCTTGTGCAGTCTCCTGCCAGCTGTGCTGCAGAGTAGTCGATGGAACGGTTGTGCTGTACTCCTACAAAAACAGGAAAACTCTACCAGGCTACATTACAACTATAGACGGTCATCATTATGTGTAAATGCGAGTATTGTGCGATTGTAGGACTATCTTACAAGGGTTTGTACGGTTACGCACAAGGCTGCAAAGTACCATGATTGTTCAATTGGCCGATATAGGCTTGGGAAATAAAACTGCGGGGCTTTTCATGCAGCAGCCACGTTCAATGACAGATGTCGGGCCGCAAGCACAAGACTTCACAGCATAGAGTCCTAAGCCCCTGAAGTCCCATTATGGAACCCCTATAAAATCCTCTTGGCACCCCCTGAAGAAACAGTCCTTCTGCAAGCCGCCGTGAAACTCTCCGGACACCTTCCGAGCTTCATAGGGGTTTAGAGGTTTAGAGCTTCGGGTGCAAACATTTCGAGTTTAGGGTTTCGGGTTTATGTTTGGGGTTTCGGGTTCAAGGGTTTCGGGTATAGGGCTTCGGGTTTGGAGTTCGTTTTGTTTTGAAGGGCCTTAAGCTGATCGGGAGGAGCCAGTGGTACGGTTGGGCACAGAGGTAGGTTCAGGGTCTAGGGTTTAGGGTGTCGGAAACGGTAGCATCTAGGGCTGTTGCTTGTCTGGGGTCCACGGCTTAGGGCTGGAACTAAAGACCGTAGTAACTTTAGTAGTAACCCTTTTTTATTGGGTCCCTAACAGTTAAAGGCTTTGTATTACATAGTTGCTACAGTGTCCTAGAATTTTCAATTTTAACACCGACGACAAGGGATATTCCTGACTATTCCGACCCCTATTGTTGTAGTATAAGTACCCCGTATCTTCGAGGACCTGTCGGAACTGTCGAGCGGACGGACGACTTTAAACTAAACCCAAATCCCAAAAACCTCAACCCTAGATCCCATAAAGCCCTACACCCTGAATCCCTGAACCCTGACCATAACCCTAAACCGTGAACCCTCCACTACTCCTTGACACCCTGCCTTCCAGGCAATTCCTTAGCTGCTTTGGAAAAGATCATGTCGTGCACCGGGGCTTCAGCGTTCAGCGGCTGATGCTGAGGACTGGTGCCGTTGCAGAGTTTGGACATCAGCGGTTGAGTTTGGGCGGGTGGCACGCTCCTGCTGGCCTCTTGGTGGTAGTCTAGTCGTTCCAGTGGCAGTGGTCGTGCTTGGTTGTCGCGGTGGTGGTCCTAGTACTCCGTGGTCCGAGGGTCCTGGTGGTTCCGGTGGTTCTGGTGGTTCTGGTGGTTCTGGTGGTTCTGGTGGTTCTGGTGGTTCTGGTGGTGTCGTGGCCGTCGTGGGAATGATCCTCATGGTCGTCAAGCTGCGCTAACACTGGGGGCTTTACGCTGAATAAACCGTATATGTGTTGTAGACCCAAGTCGATCTTCGATGAACCTCCGCCTTGCCGCCTTGCCTAAGCCACTGAAAAGTGCAGCCAGGGATCCTTGGTAGGCTGCGGCGTTACGCCGAGGGTTCCGGAGGAGCCGGCCGGGGAGGGCTCCGGTGAGACGACCATGCCTCACTTCTGGTCAAGAGGGGCCGAGCGTATATTGGGTTTTTGGGTTTTTGCTTAGGATGGGTTTTGTTGGGTTTCGGGCTTTTGGTCGTTTTTGACTAATGACTTGTGGCTCGATGCTCCCTGTGCTGTCGGAGACGAAGACGCGGATAAGGGTGCTGTTGAGTATGCTGTTGTTCCGGCTCAGTGGTGACGACGACAGCGAGCAAGGCAAGGACGACAAAGCACATGCTACTGCTGATGCGGACGCTCTGCTGCCGCTACTGATGCTGACGTTGTTTCCGACGATGGTGTTGGTGGTATTTGCCATTGCGCTGTCGTGGGTCGTGTAGAGTGTAGAAACAGAACTGTAATCCATCCTCCGGCCCCTGCAGCTTATCTTTCAAAAGATCACAACGTGGGCGTTGAGAACGATGCATGTTGCTGAGAGTTCGAGCTGCAGTGCGGCTCCCGGAAATGTAGGCGATGCAAATTCAGTGGCGCTTGAATTGAATAGCGGAGGACTTGCAGGATCAGGATGGATCAGGACTAGCGAAGGCTCCTGAGACGGATGTCGCTTCGAGTGCGTCATTGGACTAGCTTTGAGCGTCCGTGATTATCCTTGGTTTCTAAGCATTTCCAAGCACTACTGGACGAGAGTAGCTTCCTCACTCCGAGGTAACACCAGCTTCATCGAAGCGTTCATCTTGCCGCAGCTGGGAATCGGCATGTTAGAAATGCGCAACCTCATGAAACTTTTCCGCTTGCAATGCAAGCTGGTTCCTACATACACAATGCCCTTGTTTGGGGTAAGAGTCTCCATCTACACCTGTCGAAGTTGCGGCTGGTTGCCGCTCACCGAGGATAGGAGAAAGCAGGAAAGGCAGGGAACACATGGTCTCCTGGAGGAAGATGAAAACTCGAGACTCGTAAGCTAGCATCTGAAGGTCTTCATGGATGCTTCGACAGCATTATCATTACTATCGAAACTATAGCGGCATCGAGATGCAAGAGGTATCAGGGTTTTGGTTGTCGGTGTTCGCTTGGGTTGTAAGTGTACGGCCAGTTTAGCAAGAAGGATGCTTTTGGGGGGTATTACGTATGCCCACCAGCCAAGATGCATCAGGGTCGGTCGCCCAGAAAGCAAGGTGAGGCAGTATCCTTCCACATCCTGTAACCAGCGGTCCTGACAGCATGTTCGGCGCTTCTGCCAAGAAGAACCGCGAAGATCATGATGAGAATGACACTAGAAGCCGTAGTCGTAGTCGCAATTTTAAGAACCCGCAGCAACAACGACAATAGTACTCGCAGTCACTTCCACTCCTACGTGAGTCCATGGCTTGTGGGTTCGTCAACGTCCGTCAGCACGGGCAGCAGATCAGATGCACAACTTTGTCACGGTCCTGTCCCAGAGGCATGTCTCTGGCAATGTATGGCTGGCCCATACCTTGGTGCCAATCTTCAGAAGCAGACTCTGCCGTCAGATGAACCAGCGCAATACATCAGCAACGTCTGCAAAAAGCTCCGACTGTGCACACGAGATACTCAGCCGCTCAAAGTCGATCACGTTGATGTCCGCTTTCCTTAGAGGGGCACACAGGTGTGCAGCACGCATCTGAGAAACTTGATCCAGGCTCTCTCAAACTGCAATCAGGCCGCATGCCCACTTGTAGTGCTCCGCGATCCTTCAGGCCGAAGAAGCTGGCAACCTCCAGGCTGTTCAGCTTGACCACATGCTCCAAGCTCATCTTGGGACCTTTGACACGGTCCCTGGCCAGGTAGCAAAGCATGTGGGATGCGATTGCTGCATCCTGGAAGATGGTTCCATGCGCCCCAGCATCTGCGAATCCAGGCATGATGTGCGGATGGTTCAACATCGTGCAGGTCATGTTGTAACCGCCCCAATCATATGAACCCAGGAAGGGCTTCCAGACTACCCCGCCGTTGATCATGATGTCCCAGTACACCTCGGCGAAGCCTCGCCCTTCCTTTTGAGCAATCGCCACAACACTGTCCTAGGCCACAGGGTGAGTAGGCACGGGCCTACAGCGCCTCTTTGCTGCATTTACACAATCATAACCACAAGAGCTGTTGTTTAACATAGACCCTGCGTCTGTGGCTTTCTCAGGCTCGTAGTGTGACGTCCAAGGAAAGTGCTCATCGAAAGGTTTAAAGAAGTCTTGCAAGTACTTGTACTGCCCAGCCTGGTCAGACGAGAAGAAGGCTGTCGTTTCCTCGGCTCGCAGCTTTCACACTTCAGTGGCGGCTAAGATTTAGGTCCCAACCTGCAGGCAGGCCGACGTCAGCATTCTAAGACATACTGCTGTAAGAAGTATGCCAGCCCTAACATCGTGAAGCTCTTGCTTCAGTCTTTACTTTCGTCTGACGTACGATTTGTGAACCAAGGCAACTGCCGGCCCGGCGGATGCTTCAGGATGCTTCAGGTACAACCTGAACCCTTGCTTCATTTTTGGGCAGCAGTACTGCTCCGGGCTAAAAGCACCGAATTGCTGTAGAGCATTCAGCTTTGCAAGTTCTGCCCAGCGTCTGCGATGATCTTCTCTCGCTTTCCAGATCTTCTGAGCGTATCAATCAAATCCAGACCTCCCTCCTGGCAGTGCTTCAGGATAGCCTGGAAGACAGGAGTTGCTGTAAACCAATCGGACAAAAAAACATATGTCATGCGTGTATATATATATATATATTAGGTTTATCTATATATATATATATATATATAATGTATTGTTATACATATACACACATACTCGTGCTCCATCCAGACCACCCTCTAGCTGACTCCATCTGGTTCAGCATATGGTTAAAAGCAATATGCAAGCCGGCCTGGAAAACGTTTCTTGCAAACTCAACTGTGACTTCTATACTTTCGACCAGCAGCGTTGAAGGTGCGGCTGATGACGAACGGATGGGCCCTGGAGTGGAAGGACTGCAAGAGACCTTGTGCACGGGCAATGCACTGGCCCCTAGCCAGGCCACCAGCGTCCTTGTCTCCGGGCATCGTGGTGAAGGGCTGTTCACGAGTTCTGCCGGGGGTTTTATTGCTTTGTGCGTTAAAGTTTTTCGGTTTCGGAATTTAGGGTGTTAGCGTTCAGAGTGGGCCTTCAAAGCATGGAGAGCTCAATAATTTCAGCTGGCTAGCTACTTCTGAAGCTTGAAAGGTGGCCACAAGTCAAAAAAACTCAAGCTCGTGCGAGTTCAGCAGCGTTGATGGACTGAATCACGAACAAGGTCGGATGGTTTGCGAAGCAGTTGAAGGTTACAGGAACGTCTCGGCCATGTCGGCGTGCGATGTCTATGAGCCACTCATACTCCCCCCGCTGATAAGCTCGAAGCTTCTTGGGATCCAAGTTCTCGTGGTGAACATCGTCGTATGAGAGGAAATCTGAAGACATCTCAAAGACGCCACCACCACCGTCTGCGATAGCTTGGGCAATAGCTTTCAGCTCGTCTGCACAAGATAACGTGCCAGGCGTCAAAGTGCCTGATTTCTGGCAGGCACTGGTGGCGTCCAAGATCCCCCAACTTGATTTTTCCCCCATCAATCAAACTCTTCCTCTCCTACAGTGGATCCTCATCCTTGTGTCCCCAACCACGACCTAACCTTCTAAAGCCCACAGACAAGCTGCCCTCCGGATCCCGGTGCATAAGCAACCGTGACGTGGAAAAGCCACAGGCACCGACAGCCACGGCATCACGAACCAGGGCGGCGATGGCCTCTGGCATCTTGGATTGAGATTCAGGGTTGAAGACCTACGTGCTCTGGGATGACAGGAAAGAGAAGCATCGAAATGCCTGCATGGCTCCCCCAGTCATTTATGCACCTGTCTCATTTGAAGCTGCATTGCTGACAGACAAAAACAGTGCATCACCCCAGTACCGTAAGCCGCGGGGAAAGAAATAATCCCAAATTCCTACTGTAGCTCAAGAAGGATTTGGTCCATCAGCACCTCTAGCAGATTTGTTTAAAGTTCTTGAAGCTAAGATTTGAAGAGCATTCAATTCTGCCAGATGCAAAAGAACAGCTTAGCAGAAGGACAAATTAGCGGCGATTTTAGTACCACACCACAGCACTTACGTATTCTTGGGCATGAATTTAACGGCACCTAATGTAGGGGCCAAAAAAGTTCGAATAGGGTTTTGGCTATCTCATACTAAAGAAATAAGAAACCCCCCAGAATAGTATAGGTCATTACTAAGGTCCCTATATTAGTCGCCTCCATAGGACTCCATAGAGATTCCAAAACTCGACACAGCACGTGCCGTTGCTTGGATAACTTGGGCACATTACACTCCTAAGCCGAAAATGCAAGTTAAAAGACCATAAGGCTGTGAAGGAAAACTTACTGTGACAGACGTACACTGAAAAGCCTACGAAACAGCGAGGGTTCGCCAGGCAAACAGGGGTAGAAACTACTGCTGTTCTTGAAACAACGGGAGCATGCTTTCAAGCCCAGTCCTCGATCTCATGATCCTTCAGCGGATGCTCTGCTGCACCTGTAGGGAGACGAGATTGGTGCTGCATTCCCATGCAAGCGGCCTGCACTAATCATGAATCCCTGCGCCTCCGGGCTTGTCGGACAAGTTGGCCCGATCTCCCATCACCCATGCGCGCACGGCCGAATGCCCGACGAGCACCGCAACATCGCAAGCCAGGGTTGCACGATCGAGACTGTCCATGTACTCTTCGAAGGTCTCGAAGTCGTAGGTTAGCCCTTCTGCTATGATCCGCTCCGGCACATCTTCGACTGCCTCGACAAGGTGCGCAAGGAACTTCCGTCGGTCTTTTTGACACGGAGCGAAGCCGATGCCACAGTTGCCCATGATGCAGGTGGTAACCCCACAGGAAGAGCTGGGGCTAAGATAGGGATCCCATGACCACTGAGCGTCGTAGTGCGTGTGACCATCTACCCATCCAGGCGTGACTAGTAGTCCTCGGGCATCAAACTCCTGCCTTCCCTGAACAGGGAGGTTTTGCCCGATTGCGGAAATCACACCATCCTTGACTGCAATGTCTGCTACGAACTCGGGCTTCCCGGTGCCGTCAATCACACGGCCAGCGCGAATCACAAAGTCGGCGTCGCCGATGGACATATCTGCGACGCAATGCTATGCACAAGGAAGCCGACATGGCTACAGCCATCAGAGATCTCATGCCAACAGAAGGCAAAGGCATGAATACGGATCGAAGAAGGTGCGCTCTCCCTTACAGGCTGCTGGGGGTCTGAATTCTCCGGCTGACTAACGCTGCACATACCAAGTACACAGGCTCTAGGCCGAAGCAGAGTTACATCATCATAACAAAACGGGGTTTAGGGTTTCGGGGTCTAGGAGCAACTGGATATTCTGGCGCCTTGTGGAGACTTAAGCGGGACTTGTCTTCCTGTTGCTGGAAGCTTGCAGCCCACCTCAGTCACAGCAAGGAATGGCAGCACAGAGCCAAATGCACCTCTTGCCATAGCACCGCTCTGCTACTAACAGTCGAAGATAGTCGAAGCAGTCGCGCAGGAGGAAAGACGACGGATCTCAGTGCGGCGTGAGCTACATCCTGTCATCACAAGCTAAACTAAGGATTGGGCACTGGGCTCGTCAGCAGTATGGCGGACGTCTCCCAAATCTGCTCAGGGAAGGAAGCCAAGGCCCGGGGTTCACGTCTCGGGGCTTTGGTGGTTTTTGTTTGGACTCCCTTTTCATCTGCTTGCTTTCGCTAGCCGTTCTCGGAGTTTACGGAGTGCACATGGATGCGAACTGGTTTCGTCTCTATGCATGCCCACGCGCCTGCTTCGCGAAGGAAGCCTTTCCAGAGGAGACGCGAAGCAAGAAGGGCCTCGGTACCCTAAACTCCCTAACCCCTAAACGCCCTACATCCCTAGTAGCTTCCTTAATGCTTATGCTCCCTCATCCCAACTCCACTAAGCCCCCCCATCATCCCCAATCTCTCAACCGCCTAATCCCTACTGAGCTCGCCAATCCCCTCGAAGGTTTTTCCGCATTCTAGACCCCTATAGTAGAAGCCAGAAAGTTGGAACATTATTATCCCCATGCTCTTAAGGCAAAGTATAAGGGATCCCCATTAGCACTAATCCTCCTAAGCCCATGTTCCAACTTTCTCGGGTTCACTATACTAAGAACCCCTAAACCATAAACCCTAAACCCTAAACCCCAAACCGAAACCCTAACCCCCCCCCCCCTTTAAGAAGCAGGGAGAAGGGTCGAAGCCTCTGGCACCCAAGTCTCAGAGCTCCGAGTCTCTGGCCAGGCGTCGATGTCGCCAGGGACCTGAAATTTCAAGTTTAGGGTTTTGGTTTTCGGGTTTTGGCTTGAGGGTTTAAGGGTCTAGAGGTTTAGAGCTTTCGAGGTCTCTAGGATTTTGCGTGTAGGGCTGAAGAGGTTTGGGGCTTTTCGGGTTTAGGGTTCATTGTTTAGGCGTGGCTGGGTTTTAGGTTTGGGGTTTGATAGGATCAAGACCAGGCTACCAGGCCCTAAAGTCTGAGAAATCGGAACAGAAATGATCTTGGGAGAATCGGGGAGTCTTCTGGTCGAGCCCGATACTGACAGGGGCAGTCGTGATCCAATTTCGGTATCGAGAAAACCGACCTAGCTTCGATGGATGTGGTCTGGGGCTTGGGGTTTTTTGGGTATTCAGCTTGAGGGTTCAGGGATGGGGCTTCGATTTGTGGCTGTGCAGAAACCACGAGAGGAGCCTCCTCCAAGAGGGCCGGCGTCTTCTTGACCTGCCCAAGAGCTCGGGGAGGGTTCGAAGCTCAATGAAGCTCTGCTCTGCTAACCTTTTGACTCAGTCTGACTCACGCTGTGTCCGTCAGAATGATGTGCCAAAAGCCCCCAAGGCAGCCAACGAGCGCTCGTCCCAGTGGATACATGCTTACCTGGCAGTCTACAGCATCTGCCTCCGCGACGCCCCTCTTGAGCTTCGTGAGGATGCCAGAAAACCTAGAGCTCAAGAGGCTTTTTATTGCCTGAGGCTTAGGGCTTAGGGGATGTTTGAGCCAGAGTTGAAGGGCTCCAGGCTTCAAGTAATTACGGGAGAGGGTTCCATGTGAATTAGGCCCTGCAAAGGCTTTGGACTCTGTGCTGAATGTTGGAGACACCAACTTCGAACTCCAACCTTACCTAGTCATGCAAATCTCTATCGAGGTGCTAGCCGCTAGCGAGCCAAGTTTCTGAGCAAGGAAAATCTAAAAGCAAGCGACTGACGCCAAACCGCTGGAACGTGAGATCCGGGAATCCTACCATCTCAACCCAGAAGTCCCGCAGTCGGAAAAAATCACGAAAGCCAAACTGGGAGATGCGATGCCCAACCTCTAATATAGGAACCTGAATGATTAGCATAGGGTTTGGGAGTCTATTATACGAGTATAGGTATATAGGCACTATAATTAAGGGGAATCAAAGACGAATTATTCCGGCCGCTATGATCCCTGAAACACCCTAACTGTGAACTCTAAACCTATATGATCGTATATGATCCCTGAATCCCCGCACCGAGCTTCCGACGCCGAGTTGAAGTCTCCCTCGTCCGCCGTGGCCACAGCGGCAGCCTTCTGCAAACCGGGGTTTCGGATTTAGAACTCAGTGTTCAGGTGTTTTTTGGGGTCTAGGGCTAGGGTTGAGGGCTTACGATCTTTTGGGGAGCATCATGCAGAGTAGAGCTTAGGGCTTTACTTTGCAGGCCTGTTCGGCAGGAGTGCTCGGGGCTCTAATTGCAGGTTCGGCCCATGTTTGGCGTGATGTTGAAAGCTCATGGATTCAGGCTGGTCGGCAGTTGCATAGCCACGACAGCGTTCCCGGCCATGCAGAAGAACATCAAAGGGGCTTTTGCGGGAAGACATCGCTATTTTTTGGGAACTTGGGTTTATCATTCATGCTCTGGGCAATTCCGCTTACCGGTACAGGGGATGCGGTCTGAAGAGGAGGCCTGAAGACTATCGAGTGCACGGCTCAGATCTCCGTATCTATCGGCTAAGAGAGCGGACGAATGCTCAAAGACCCCCAAAGCGCCCGCGAGCCCCGGCGGCCTCCTTCAGAGCATCTGCAAGCTTTGCCATGGCTCACAGCTGTGGGATGGAAAAACTGGGTGCTCTCCTAATAGCTACTGCGATGGTTGCGCTGGTGCACTGCAGGAGGCTCCTAGTTAGGGTGTGGGGTAGGGCCGGGTAGGGGTCTTCAGAGGCCTTACAGGCTGTGGCCAGCTTGGTGGAAAGTCTGGGGTCTTGCTGCCACTGCCCCCGTAGACACACTGTGCTTGTGCGTGCTTGTGCAAGTGGCTGCGCATCGCTGCACAGCCTAAAGATGCTCACGCGAGCCAGCAGCTCCACCGAAACAGCGGACATTGCGCAGGGCCGCAGGGAGACAACTCGTGCCGCGAAGCTGCAAGCTGCCAAAGCACTACGGTCTTCGAGCGAGATCGCATCCTCATACTCCGAAAGTTCCAGAGCATGTCCGGCACGGCTGTGCCGAACTGGAGGGGCAGCTCAACGTGCGCCTAAGAGCTGCAGCCCGTCCATTAAACAACTACTTGCAAATCTTGAAGCTTCGGCATGTCAGACTTTCCTCCTTTCCTGCTGATGTAGATACAGTGCACGAGCTGCTGCACTGAAGATTCCCAAAGACGTTGCTGGACATGCCGTGCGGCTCTGCTGCCGCGAGTCTCGTGTGGCTTCATGTTTCCAGGCAGGGTGCAGCCTGAATTCGTGTCGTCCGCTTTGTCAGTCTTAAAAAGCAGCCCATTGTTTTTGTCTAGCCTCTGGCTGAGTCCTGAAACCCTACAGACCGTCGAGGCCCACAGGGCAAACTCAGGCCATCATAAGCTCCAACCCAGGCAGGTCGAGCACATCTAGGCACCGGCTTCACTGTAGCGGTAGGCCACGGCACCATCCACCTGGTGGGCAAGGCAGCAAGGACAATCGGGTGAGGGGGCTCAAGCAGCACCTCCTTATCTTGAGTTGCTGATGACTTCGCTATGTTGCTGGTAAGACGGAGCACACCTTCGCTTTTGCTGTACTGCGTGATCTCAGAGATGAGCCGTGTTTTCCAGTGCAGTTCTCCCATGTCTCCCGAGATCCCGAACATACGACGCAAGGAAAATAATTTGAGCTGGACTTCGGATCATGCCTTGTGGATCTTGGTTGTGAAGCAGCGGAGCTTCACCTCTTCGCTCTCACCTTGGCCGATGAGTCGGGAAGGCTGGCTGCTTGCCGGAGGACATGGTTGGTCACCTGGGGCGAACCGTCGTGAGGCTGCGAGGCCTCCTCATGGCAATGAGCATGCAGAACTGAGCATCACAGATTGCCATGTTAACAGGAAGATGTCCTACGTAGCGTAGACAAACCAGACATGAACCCAACCTGCCTGGCCCAACAACGCGCAGCCGTAATCAGTGGCTCTGAGACGTGATCTTGAACATTAATCGCTATGGAACTCGCTCAGTCAAGGTCTAACATCTCGGCTCCAACCTGGAAAAGCACGCTAAAGTTCTGCTTGTCACCACTTCACAAACGCGAGGAGCTTGCAACCCGACTCCCGCAGCTTCGCAAGCACAACTACCAGCGCCGCTTCCGGGCACTTCTCTTCTGCGGGCCCATACACCATCACGGAATGGCCCAGAGTGTCGGTGCCCCTACCCCGTCTTGACAGTCCAGCCACTCCGGCATGCTGCACCAAGTACAGCCCAAGCGGTGTGTACAAACCAAGAAGCAGCTCGTCAAACGAGGCAGTCCAGGCTCGGACTTGCGAAGGAAACTTTATGCGAGTAAAATTTGCGTACCACCTTCGGTTGTAGACATCCCAACAAAGACTGGAGGATTTGAATTCTACCCTGGCGTTGCCACGCCACCAATCGGCACTGCCTCGATATGCACCACGACGCTGCTGATGAAGTGTACCCACAATCTCCAATGAATCTACCTCGGGGTGAAATCGACACCCGGGGTGGCACAGTTGATCGACGGCAAATGCCATCCTCTGCAAACGTAGTGCGCGATAGCTTGGGCTACACCCTGCGAAGGGAACTCCAGTGTACCACTTGGCGGAGAGTCTGTAACCCTCCCGACCGAGCTCTTGCGACACCAGCTGCGCAACGTAGCCGCTGTCAGATCGCAGTGTGGCGAGGTCTTCACAGGCATGTGGCTGCATCAGCAGTTTTCGTAGAATATCTTGGCGGGCCTCTGCAGCATCAGAGCAGCCTCGAGCCGCGTAGACCTTCACGGCGTGGCCCAGAAAGGCGGTTCGCACTCCAGCTTCTGTGACGGCTGCGGCACCATCATGGTGAACAACGTCGACCCATCCAGGGGAGTGGAGGGCCAGGAACAATTCGTCAAAGATAGCTTGCTTAAACTTGATTCCGCTCCAGCAGGCAAACCAGCGGTGATGGGAAGAATCCCAAGCCATGCTGGTTCCCTTGCACTCAACCCTGCGATCACCGTGTCTAAAGTCAAACTCAGCTTTGTCGTTGCCTCTTCTGGTTTGATTTGCACAAATGCCAGGCGGCGGCTCTGTCAACGGCACGGAAGGAAACACTTCTGCCAAGGTCTGCCGCACGACCTGCTGGAGCACTCTACCTTTCCGCGGGCCATGCAGCCTAAACAGTGGATCTTCTGCATAAGCGGTCTGCGTAATGGAGGAGGGGTTCTCTTCAAAACTTCCAAGAATCTGAGCCACTGTAAGTGTCAAGACTTGACGGCGGCAACAGCCGAAAGAGACTGCCAGCGGCCGAAGGCAGATTTTAGCCTGCCGGAGTTGTGGGAACTGTTTCGCTAGCATAACTTCGAGCCATGAGCTGAATTCACACACAGGGGGCAGCAGAGTCCACGGACACGAGGGTGGCAAGGAGGTGCCGTGTCTGGTAGCTTGGAGGGCACCAGTGCCCCGGATTTCGCTGTACGGAGGATTCTGTGCGCCGCCGTGCTTCCGGTTGGTCAGATTCTGTCATGGCTGGAGTGGCAACTCCGCATCGCTGCAAATTGCGAACGAAGCTGCTCCCGAAAGCTCGGAATACCAAGTCTCCCGCCGACGATGTACTTGGGGTCACTCTCCGCCCAGGCCAGGGGAACCTCCAACACTCAGCTCTGAAAGCTCGCCGAGAGGAAACAGGACCAGCGCTAGTCAGAAGACTGCTCTCTTCCTCAAACTTCGGCCCTGAAGAACATGTTTCATGCAGATGCTAAGCAGCTAAACATGGCCCCAGCTGCCTCTGCACCACGGTCTGTGTAAATCAGCAGGTCGAAAGCACAGGGCCTGAGTCTGACCATCGAGACTCCCGGCTCGAACACTTTGACAGTGACTCTACTTGTGCATTGCTCTCGTCGGGCGGCTAGGCAGACATGTGGGACCAAGACATTGAGCTCTCAAAGAGACGACTATGAAGACAAGAAGACAGTTAGGTTGGCGGGTAATTTCAAAGGGTTTGGAAACTGTGGTCTCTGAAAAAGCCCAGGTGAGCGCTTCGGCTGGTATCTCAAGCGCAACAGCATAGCTCTCTGCGGTTTGCAGGCTTGGGGCTGCAATGTGACTACACATTTGTAGAATGTACTAAGGACCCTGTAGTAGGGCTGGGATCAGAGAAACGAGAACGGCTTGGGCGGGCGCTCATCCAGAAGTGGGAGGAACGTGACAGAGGCGGTGATTTGCCGGATGATCGCCTTCACGTGCAGATCGCGCACAGCTTTCGGGACCCGTCGCTGGGCAGTCTTTCACAGCCATACCCTGCGTTTTTGGCGTTGGGAATTAAACACCTCAGCGAATCTTTGCGGCAGCATGCTGCAGGCTGATGGATAAGGTTCACAAGCTACTGCCGGGACTGTTCTGCATCACCGGGTTTAGGGCTTGGGGCTCCATGCTTACAGGGCGTGACTATGCTGCCAGGCACTGCAGGAACCGTAGCTTTGTTTTCATCCGGGCACAGAAGCTCCACTGTCTGTTTCGATGTCTTCCCAATATTCGGAGCTGCGCCCTTGCTTTCCCAAGGCAGGCTCAGGCCCTTCTTTCCATTGAAACTGCCGTTCCCGCTATGAGAATTTTCAACAAGAATCAGCCGCTCCCATGCTGCTCTAACTATATGGCAAGCACTATTACTTTCAGTACTAACTACCAGTAACTACCACTACCACGACAGGATCTACTTGTCTGAGCCTGGGATTGCCTGGCCATTGATCTGAGACGTGCCGAGACGAATTCGCAGGGCCCTTCAAAATGCTGCGCACATGAGGGCCGTACTTGGAGGATGATGGCTAGAGTTGCTTTTGGGATACCTTATGATTACTTATAACCCCAATCAAGGTACTTATAGCTTATAACTTTATAACCATACTGACTAAGCATGATCATCCAAGTAACCAGCAGAAAACCACCGTGACGGCAAACTCCTGTAAGCCCGGTCGGTTCACACTCGGACTCTGGCCTAATGCCCAGGGCCCGCTGCAGAACAGAAGAGAAAGGATGCTGGGCCAGTCGGGCCAACTTCAAGCATCCCTTGCTTCAATCGTCGCAGATATGTCTCTTGCAACCGTGACTTGTTTGAGTTCTCTAGTTACAACAAGTGGTCAACGCTTCATCATACCTGACAGTGTACTGCTCAAGGCAGCCTTTGAATTCTGACAAGCTCGCACATGCGCGACAGCTTGTTGCCAGGTCATCATCTCAGACTGCGGTCATCATTTGCTGCACCTGACATCTCCAGAACGCCCTGCATGCATCACACATCAAAGGAACCTCACAGCGCCAGAACGCGGCATCAGACAACAGCCTCGAGGGCGATGGACGACCAATCTTCACCTAACACATGGCAGCAACCGAACTCCAATCAACGTAAAGGAGGCTAATTTCACCACTAACTGCTTCCCGAAACGCGATGGCAGGCCTGCATACTTTCGGAAAATGGCGTGCTGCTCGATGCTCGGCTCCTGTTTAAAGGTGGCGGGTTTTGTAGATTCCGAGTTTAGCAGCACAGTCGTAACCCCGTCCGTGAAGAGGCTGCAGATGCTTCGAAGAATCACGCGCCTTCGCGGATACAGCGCATGCAGACACATCGAACCACTCGTTCAACTGAAGGCCGGAACTCTCCTTAGCCCAAAAGGCTTTGATATACCATAACATACTTCAACATACTACAACAATATACTGTAGCATGCTATGGCTATAGTATGGACGAACCTGTTGCAACATGTAAACCCTACATCTCTCGCCAATCTTCATGTAATAGATTTACTACAAGATGAAAAAACGTATTGCTCTAATCTACTGCATGGAACTGCTTAAACCCTACATCTCTCGCCTGTCCCTAAACCCGAAACCCAAAACCCGAAACCCGAAACCCCAAACCCAATACCCAAAACCCTGAACCCGAAACCCAAAACCCGAAACCCTAAAACCGAAACCCTAAACCCGAAACCCGAAACCCAAAACCCTAAACCCGAAACCCAAAACCCAACAAAAGGCAACCCTGATCTGAGCCCAACGCAGCTGATGCAAGCGCCGCTCGCTCGGAGCGGCAAAGGACTGGAGAGCATGCCCAGGCCTGGCTTTAAGGATGCTTCGGGCTTTGGGGGTCTAGGGCTTAGGAGATTTAGAGGTTTAGGGTTTAGGAGATTTACAGGTTTAGGGTTTAGGAATAGGTTTGCGGTTTAGGAATTGCGGTTTAGGGTTTAGGGCATTTAATGAGCAACTGCTCGTGGCGGAGTGCTTCAGGGTGGGTTTGCCAAACGAGCCCTTGCGATCGCAGCTGGATCCAGTAACTGGTAATCCTGAGGCTTCTCTCAGCTGCGGCTACATGCTTGCCCGACGCCAACTAAAAACTGCCCTTTAAGTCTGAACAAATTCGTGATATCCTCCCATCGACTTCGAGGTGCTGCCTCTAACTCGCCACAAAGGATACAAGTCACGTACACTGGATCATCTTTTTGCAGGTGCGAATGGTTCCAAGTCATGCTTAAGCCCTACTACGAAGACTTCCTTTCTGGACGAGAGCAGAATGCTCCGCAAGCCTTGCACATGTTCTCCGAACGCACACTGGCACGCTGCAAAACCCTCTGATGCATAAAGTAGACACAAGTAACCTCGTGCAACGCTTCGGCTGTTGCCGCCTCCCAAACATCGTGCCGGCGATCATCACGGTTGCGGCGGCATGTAGCGATGGGGCCCAGCGTCCTGCGGCCTCCTCAGAGGTTGCTGGGCTTACGGTGGCAGCTTGAGCATGCAACTCAACCGCAGGACCGTAGGACATGCAAGTAATTCCGAGGGGGGCCGAACTGAATTTGCTCATCATCCAACCGTTGAGGGCTCCGTTTACACGGGTTTTTGAGAGTTATTATAGAGGTTGCTATAGGGGCCTGTTGAGGGTTCGATAGGGTTCGGTACCACTGGGCTCCCGGCGCTCAGGAGGGCCAACCTGCAGAAGGATGTCACATGAACCCCCACGACAACATGACAATGAAAGAGTATGCATGGTCGGAACAATCATCGTCATCATCATCATCTTCTTCTTTTGTTATTGTTCGTGATCATAGTCTCCACCGTTACAGTCACCATGAACTATCACCATCACGGCAGACGTAACAAGTGCAGCATCACAATCTCTTGAACATACCAAGCTCAGCAAGAACGGCAAGTTTGAGCGGCTTCGTGGAACTTTTGCTGCACGCATGCGTGCATGTGCCCAGGTAGCGCGTACATACAAGAAAGGCTTCAGCAACGCCTCATTTGCCTCTGTGCCTTCCCAAACCAGCAATTCAAGCGTATGCGATGGCGACCCTGGTCTTGTCTTTCGGCATCCCTGCCAAGCCCGCCACTCGCAAATGAATGTCGAGGCCAGCTTTACCTTCTCCTGGCAGAGTGAAGGACGTCGGATGCAGTCCGGGTTGAATCATTCCACATCTGGCTCCTTCTGACGAAGGAGCTCTATGTTAAACTCCGACACCGGCCCACAATGGCAACGGCAAAGGGATTGAAACGATCTAGGCACAGGGCTGCTCGGTCTTGCAAATAGATCGCTACGCTGATTTTGGGGCTAATTGACCGCTAGAGGATAAGGCGGCATTTAGGATGCTTGGCCTTGAAGCCTTCGTGGCTTTAGAAGGCAAAAACCTCAATTACTTGAATAGCGCTTTGGGTTGCGTTACAGTATCATTGCAGTATCATTATATTCAGGAACCCTAAGGAGTAGTATTACTGGTTTCTCAGGCTTCTGTAGTCTGACTTGTTTCAGAACGGCGACTTTTGATACTAGCAATCAGCACAAGAAGAATCATAGCAAATGTGACTCCAAATTAGCAGCCTTCCGTTCGCCGAAGCCCTCGAAATTGTGAACGTGCTCCACGAACCTCGCTGGGAACAGCTGGGATCGCAGGGTTTAGGCTTGTGGTGTAGGATTTAGGGTTAACATGCTGCACGCAAAGTCCGTGTTGTCGGCAACTTTTGGCTTAACAGCTATATTTACGAAATGGAGTTGTCGTATTGATAGATATATATATATACACACACACACCGAAACATATACATACACACATACATGCATATGTACACACACACATACATACGTACGTACATACATACATGCATGCCTGCGTACATATACCGGCACCTGTAATTTATTCATGCGCCTGCTTGAGGACTACGTGACGGCATTGTAATATCACCGGACTACATGACGGCATTGTAAATCACCAAAACCTATGTATACATGCATCTACATATACATACACATATATACACATGTATAGGTTCATATCTAAAGCTTGGCTGTGGTCTGCGACGCTTGCGGGGTTCAGTATTTAGATGTATTTCGCATTCGGGGTTTAGAGTGTAGGGCGCTTGGGTTTTGGGTTGAGGTTTAACGTGCTCGCTGGGTTGTTGACAAGCCGAGACCATATCAAACTCCCAAATGACAAACCGGACGACCTTGTTAGTTCTAAACCCTAAACACCAAACCCTAAACCCTAGACCCTAAACACCAAACTCCAAACTCTAAACCCCAAACCCTGAACCCTAAACACCAAACCCTAAACCCTAAACCCCGGCTGGGCCAGGTGCCAATCTCTGTGATGTAGGGGTGTCGGCCTTCCAGGCTCGGCCCGGTCGGGCTTTGACATGGATAGTTGTCTACATTAGGGCCCCGTTTAGGTACTTGTTACAAGGGTGCCGTACTTTATTGGGGACGCAAAAAGGGAAACTGATTTAGAGAACTACCCATAATATGCTGTTCGGCTCTGGGGTTTAGGCTGCAGGTTTAAGGTTTGGGGTTCAGGTCGAGGGCTTTGGGATTTTGGGTTCGGGCTAAAAGTTTAGAGTTAAGGGTTCGGGCTTCAGGTTTAGGCTTTAGGGCCTTCAGGGTAGAAGTTTTTAAGGTTTGGGGTTCAGGGCTTCCGATTTATGGCATGAGGTGCTTTGGGGTGCTGGTTCATTATACACTTTGGGGTTGAGGGTGTAGGTTGTTGGAACTCAGCATGTTCACTTCGGGGCCTTGCATGGCCTTGGCTTGTTCGGCGATATCTGCACCAGTAGTTCATGCATGACGATGCTTACTGCGTACACTGTATGTTACATCACATCAGCTGCCTCGGCCCGAGCAGCAGATAAAGGAGAAGACAGAGCAGCCCCCAAAATGCAGGTCTCGAGACTCACACTCAACCACCAATCCCGAAACCCAAAGCAGTCTGCAACAAGAAAACCTTGATATTCGCATCCGCAGTCCTTGCATTCGAAAGCTGTCTTAACTAATACCCTCCCGTCCACCGTCTTCCCTCGCTCCCAACAAGAACACCGTTCGTCAAGTGCCTGTGCATTCGGTACTCCACCGCCCGCAGCAGCTGTAGCTCTGCAGCTTCCTGGCGAAAGCCCCTGAGGACAAGTCGAGCCTGAGCTACCGTAACTGGGTTGTATGGATAGGTACCTCTATAGGCACCATAACGGAAATTTTAGAGTTTCCCGAGGTGCCACCTAGGTAAGCCTGAACCGCATCCATACCCCGAACAAATGACCTTAAGCGCTATCGTTACGAGCCGAGTTTCCGAACGCGGCTCTATGCGCTCAACCCAACCAGATGTAGGGAAGTTAAGCGTTCTATACTGATCTATTTAGGGTGTTGGGAGACAGCTTCGTGCTGCAGCGCTTGGTAACATGCGCTTTCCAGAACTTCACTGGACACTTCTTGCTCTCCTCGTTTTCGTTACTCTCCCTCTCTCTCTCTCTCTTGCTCTCT